CAAGGCTTAGGAATCATAAAAATAATATCGGTCCTTAGTTATATGAAATCCTATGACATTATTAGTTACTTAATATTGGATTAATGTGCAATATTAATTTGAAATCATTTTTTCGATTTTTTATTTACCCACTACAAACTACCTCAAATTAATGAGTAGTTTAGGGCAGAACATTGNTACAATAAAATGATAAAAATCACTAGTTTAGGAATTCATTAATCCACAGATAACGATGATCTCTATTCAGCATTATAAAACCTTCTAATTCGCTCAATCCATTTGTAGAAATTAATAAATAATTTCTAGAAAGGCAACTTTTGGTGTGTGCGAGTGTATTTCCTTGTATTCCTTTGCGTATTTCGATAAATCTAGTTTTTCAGGTTTAAAATGCAAAAACAAAATAAAAAATGCCTATTTTTTACTTGCACCTAAATACTTTTTTGAGAAAAGCATTTTGTATTTTATTTAAAATACTTTTCCAAACGCATTTTCTATTTGTAAAATGCAAAATACGTTTCTGCTGTTAAAATTTTTGCTAGTATCACCGATCAAACATTATACAAAAATGTTGCATTGAAGGTATTAGAAGCTTAAAAAGGGTACAAAAAGACATTCCATGAATGCCTTCTAATTCTTTAAGTGAAGACAGTTCAAAAAATTCTAAACCTTTTGGAAATGGATAATTTAAAATATTGGATCTATATTGTTTTCAGGGTTCAATGTCATGGTCCATGGAATTTTGAAGTTCCAAATTGATATCAGCACCTGCCAAATCATCACTTATTGTACCTTTAGCTAGGAACTACGAAATTTTATGAATTACGACAAAACAGCCCGCAAAACAATATCCAATTGATATATGCCAGATGTGTAAAACTGAAAACTACAAGATATTCTGGTGTGCTAATAAATGCCTATAATCTAAAATTCTTAGAAAATAATTCGAAAAACTTCAACTACTAGATGAACCCAGAGCTAAAGAAACTATGGATTTCATTTCTATTTCTTATTACAATGTGTAAAAGATCGGAAACAAAATGGAGTTGTAAATATTTTGATATAAAACGACTGATGTTGATTTTACATCAATAAAATTATTTGCAACCCTATTTTGGCTCTGATTTTTGAGGCTAAATAAACTATTTTGGCATCGGTGTCTTTATTCCAATTAAAACAGGTGTCAAAGGGAAATAAGGAAGTATATAGAAGAATTATTAGTTGCTGAACTAAATAAACTATAACATAAAGATAGAAAAACTATACCTCAATCACTTCAAACAGAAAAATATGAATCATAATCAATATTCGCAGCGAGTAATATAGCACAAACACTACTATTAGTGTAGAAAAACTCCAATATTTAAAAAGTGAACAAATACCTGCAAGGTTTTCTTAAATAATATTTTCTACTTAAGTAAATGTAGAAAATTAAATACAAACTAGAAAAAAGTATTTATTTGAAAAAGTATTTTGAAAATACGTATTTTGCATTTA